TTAAACAAATAAAGATTATACGCTCTTTCAAAAGTTTGGGGTCGGTAAGATTTTTTTAATGTTTTGAGAGAAGACTCTCATGCTCACCAATGCTATATTTATTTGATGAAAAACACAGTAAAACATTAACATGACCATTTTCTATTTGATCATATTTTAAAATGTAATTTATTCCTGTGATGTTATTTTCAGCATCATTACTCCAGTCTTCAGTGTCACATGATCCTTCAGAAATCATTCTAATGCTGACAGGTAACAGTAATTGCTATAAAAATCACAGTTATTGTAAATAATAATGGCATTTTTGTTCATTTTGGTTTTAGCTTTGAAATTTGTAGCAGAAGTGCTTCTATAAAGGGAAGCATTTCGAAACATCCAACAGTGAAACTCTCTCAGATAAATGTCATGACTGTACGTCTCTAAATTCATGCCCATTAAAGAGCTTCAGCTGCAACCAGTAAATCTTTGACCACCTTGAACTTTTGCATTATTCCAAATATATGTGTCCGTTGCGATTTACTATATAAAGCTAATGAGGCGCAGTTACACACTGGAATTTTCCTCCTGCTGTCACTTTGAATCAAACCAGTGCAACTGAAGTCATGTGATCCATAACTAGTCGGCACAGACCTGGCACGGCAACTAGTTACTAACATATGGTGATCAAAGCTGGAATATGAATTGTGACGATTTTGAAAAATTATGGGAAACCTATTTCTGTGTGTGGGAGGTGGGAGTTTGCAGACACAAAGACTGGCGTCATGCCACTTACCTGTCAGGTCTCACCCACTCAGGTGCCAAACTCCTGACACACATTTGCATTACTGAGCAGCGTGTGTGTTCGACGCCACCCATTCCGTTTCAGCAAACCTCTCATAAATGACATTTACATGTTATGTTGCAATATAGATCCTGACAGGTGGATCAAGACCCCAATGCAAATTGGCTACTTATCTATTTTTTCAAATAAATAAATGAACATTTGAGTTTAAATTATTTCATGATTTGAGCAAAAAAAGATCGCAGAGTGCTACGAGATATCTAGGAAATTTTGAAAAGGGTCAGGTACACACACACACACACAAAAAAGTGGTGTTGGATTTGCTATTAAAAGGGGTCATGATATGAGAAATTATGATATTTCATGATATAAGAGGTCTTTGTACCATTAAAGCATCCTGCAAGTTTCATAGATTAAAACATCCTCCTCATTATAAACAAAGCATTTATTTAATCAAGCTCCATAAAACGGCTCATTTTGATATTGCGGGATCTGTGACATCACACAGGCAAATACATTTGCATATGACCGCCTCCAGATCAAGACATCGACGAATACCGTAGTTATACATCATCGCACCATAGTATTGGATTATCCACTGTATTGGATCCGATAGCAGCTGCATCACAAACCGTAAGGAAATGATTTCATCATAATTCATAACGGTTTTATATGGATAATGTTTTCAAAACACTTACTCGCGTGCAATAGCAAGTGGGCGTTGATATGCAATGACGTCAGCCAATCATAACAGTGGCCGTTTACCGACCAGCCTGAAAGGAGCCGTCCAGACAAATTGATTGTAGAAGAGTCATTATGAAAGTGATTCCAACTATATCGTTCCTCTGTGGCGTTATTGTTCTAGTTGTGGTATGGACTCTGCTATTCTTTTATATTTAGAAAGATTTTTAGAACAATATCTTTATCGTTATAGTTATCGTCCATTGTGTTATACAGTTTAGTGTTTATTATGCAGAAATATTCGACCTCAGAACGGCGTGTCAAGTATTCCGGAGAGCCGTGTAATAATAATAAGCGCAAGCAAAATATTGCCAACACTTTTTCTCTTATACATAGTCACTTCTTAGTACCCATCTGCTGAAAGTCCTCAGAAAAGATCTCCCCTCCTGTCGCTCCGCTCTGTGGGTTTGACATGTTGTTTTGTTCGGCTTGCACATTGCATACAATTCTGATGCAACCCGCTGTAAACGCTCAAATCTTTTCACTCTGTGCGTGTGTGTGCCCGCGCATGTTGTCTTGTTGTGTGTCGTGTGCCTCTCTGTCTGTTTCCAGAGCTCACACCACACTGACAAGCAGCAGATCACTAAGTGAAACAAAACACTCTTTAATAATTCAGACACCCCCCCTCTCGCTCTCACACACACACACACACACAGATCCCTTTAAGTCTCCATGCGTTTATATCTCTGTGACGGGAGGCTGCTCTTTTTGTCTCGTCTCTTATCCGCTCACACACTCTCGGATGAAACCAGAAACGAGGCAGAGAAGCGTGTGAGAGTGTGTGTGTCCATATATACAGTATACATACAGAGCATTCTTCTCTCAGTTTTAGTTAGCAGGTCATCCAATTCCGGATTAAACCTGCTCCTGGAATCCCAACACGGACTTTCTCTCCTTTAATAGGCTGCTATTTGAATGCAATCATCATTTGGCTTGACATGGATCCCCCGTAATCTAGATCTGTATGTCCGTCTCGTCCGTGAGGAAGATGAAGGCATTTTTCCTCCATTAGCCTGAGACAGGATTGCAGTTTTCTACTCAATGCTCTGATTGTTTTCCAAAATATAATTGCAGTTATCATATGACTCTGCACATGCATAAATAATTGCAGTTATCATATGACTCTGCACATGCATAGTAAGAGCGCTATGAAATATTCATGAGGGTATAGCCGAAGCTGCGCGGGGTAACCCAAGACTCTGGGGGCGCTGGGTAATGTGGCAGAGGAGCGTAATCAGGTTGTGTTACACAAGCAGGTTTCATGGGCGACCGCAGACTATATCAAAGGGAGGAGTGTGTGTGTGTGATGGGTTCGTCGGACAGGTGGAGCTGTCAGGTGTGTGTTTGATTAATGAGGGGCTGGAGATGTTTAATTGTGCGTAATGGACATGCATGTGCACACACTTCTCCTTGTGCACATGTTTATGTCTTCCACAAAAAATCTGCCACAATTCCACTCAATTTTACAAATCGAGACCAATCAGCACAACCTATTTTTTAAAACCAGCTGAGACTAACCTCGACATCTGTCCAAACATGTCTGAAATTATTTAAAACAACACACCCTGCCGAACTTTTTATTATTCGAGCAACAACTGTAGTTTTTTTTTTTGAACCAGGGCAAATTCATTATAGGGTTTCTTCTCACTTTTCCCTCTGCCTACATTTGTTATCCTTGTAATCGCTTTTGCCAAAACATTCACCGTTTTAATTAAATTCATAAGTCGACACCGCTTTATCTCTCTCAGTGGTTTGGTTTGAAAAACAGTTTCGCAGTTTTCTCTCGCTCCTTACCGGGAACTGAATAAAAAATGGTTCTGCTTCTAAATCGCAAGGCACTTCAAGACAGGAAGTGGCATGAAAACAAACTACAAAGGGAGAAAAGATATAAGAGATGGGTTCCAAAGATTTTTGCCATGTTCATTTTGTTTGGCTTATAGTAATAATAGCTACAAAAGTTATTTATTAATAATCACACACACACACACACTGGGTAGTAACTGATTACATGTATAAATAAAATCTGGATTATGTACTTGTAATTAGATTATATTACGTTTTAAAATACAGTTCAACAGACTACAGTTACTTTTTATTGATTACATGATTACATGTTATTCTCACAATGGCAGTAAATTATTCATAATTCATTGATTTTCCCTACTACTTCTTTTTTTATCTTTTAAATGGTCCTTTCTACAAAAGCCTACTGCTTGTATACGTTCAGAAGGTCTTCCAGATTTGTTGCACACACAGACCAGCCGCTAAAAACTGCCACACACACACACACAGTAGTTGATCACTGGATTTACAGAAATCATTTCACTTTTAAGGAGTGTTTTCTCAACATTGCAACATTGCATATCTAATTAGCTCCTGACGAACACAATAATTATTATTTGAGTCCTTTAACCATGTACTTTTGTCTTTGGAAGGTGTTTGTCTCTTTATATATTTACTTGAAGTACACCCTGAGATTTTAAGTTAATAAGTTAGGCCAATATTAAAATTAAGTTAATAATAATAATAAATAAAATTAAGTTCACAGTTCCCTGATTATAGTTAATGGTCACATGACATGAAGGAAAACCAATAAAATATGTTATATATATATGTATGCATGCATGTATGTGTTATTGAATTAAAAAGAATGAAAATATTTTTATAATATGAATATTTAGAATTTGATTATATTTTTTATGTATTAATAAAATATTTGAATGTAAAAAAATGTATTTCATGTTTGTTATTTTGTGATATAACTCTTTCTCGTTGACTGTGAGGCTGCTGCCATAGCAACAAAACTTCAACATTTCAGAATATTTGGTTATACGTCTTAAAACAATTACGTTCATATCAAATACCATATATTTTCTCTTTATCTTGTTCAGCCCGAGAACTTTTAATCTAAACACTCGAGGTAGGCCTGCTGATAAAATGTGTTTTCACAGAGAGACGCTCTATCAACGGCAGGTTGTTTCAAAGCAGCTAAAAGAAACAAAAACGGCAACTATTTATCAAATCCGTCAGCGTTTAATTGAATGTGAAACGGCGGACAGAAACAGTCAGTCTTTTCATTGAGCTGTCGGGACATGATGAATGGAGCGAAACGTGGAAATGCCCATCTCTCCCGTGTCATTCATCAGCGGCGGCGTCACGCACACGCCAGCCGCGCACGCAGATAAGGAAAGTTTATGAAGAGAATTAGTTCTGAATATGCTTCTAATGAGGTCATTATTTATTTTCAGCTGAACAGTGGGGAAAAAAATAGATTGTTTTTAACCGATCCGTCCCTCCCCCCATTCCTAATGTTACATATGGAATGCTGTAAGTGGAAGTGCCGAAAATAAAATGAAAAATGGCTTCACTTAGTCTACTCTGAGCTTAAGTGTGAGTAAATGTTGTTTATTGTGCTTTAATAGATATGTCTTCATCTGGAGCAGTTCGATGTCGTAAAACTGTCTCTCTCTCTGTGCAGATTGAGAACCTGCAGGAGCAGCTGAAGGATAAGGAGAAGCAGATGACCAGTCTAAAGGAGCGCGTCAAATCCCTGCAGGCCGACACTTCAAACACGGACACGGCCCTCACCACGCTGGAGGAGGCCCTGGCTGAGAAGGTGGACACACACCAACACACACACATTCATTTACAGACACCTACATCCATCAATCAGGTTTAGGGTTGTTATGATACCAACATTTTGTTTGCCATGATTCTCACCCGTGTAGTGTTTGAAGCAACTGCCTGTTAGTTAACACCGCCCAATTGGATTGGTGGTACAGATTTTTTGCATTAACTGGAACTAAAGCACTGGTTTTGTATTTTTGTCATCTGTAGTGAGTTTTTAGAGCATTACAGCAAGTGAAGGGTCCGACCAAAAATAGTTATAGTACTGTAAATAGCTGTAAATAGTACATTGAGTTATTATTATTATTACAATTCATAATTTTTAATATGTATTAATGATTTAATAATAGTAAATATTATATAAATATTACATTAGGTTGTTTTTTTGTGTTAATAGTAATAGTATTTTCTTACTACAATTAATATTAATTAATATGTAATATTGATGTTTAATTTAATATCATTAGTAAATATTATATATTACATTTATATTAAATAATAGTAAATAATAATAAAAATAAATGATAAATATATAAATAATAAATCAAATTAATACATGTTGTTGTTATTATTATTAATGTTCTTATTTAATATGAATGCATAATCTAATACCATTAGTAAATGTATAAATATTACAGTAAGATATTATTGTTATTATTATTAATTGTATTATTTAATATAAATGTATTATCTAATATTATTAGTAAATATATAAATATTACAGTAAGATATTATTGTTATTGTTATTAATTTTATTATTTAATATGAATGTATGATCTAGTATTATTAGTACATTTATACATGTTGTTATGTTAAGTTATTATTATTATTATTATTATTATTACAATTAATAATAATTTTTAATATCAATGGATAATCTAATACTAACAGTACATATTATATAAATATTAAATTCTTTTTTTTAAATTAATACTAGTATTGGTATTTTCTTGTATAGAAGTATTTTCTAACTACAATCAATAATTAATATTAAGTCATATGTAATATTAATGTGTAAATCAATATTATTAGTAAGTATTATTTTAATATTGCATTTAGTTAGTTATTATTATAAATATTATTATGAACTACTCTGTGAATGGTAGTAGCGTGTGTTATGTCTCTGAAGGACACGAGTTCACAGGTAACATATACTGTACAGCAGAAGCTGTGTGTGTGACAGCGGTGAAGATTGCTCTGTCACACACCCTTATGTAAGGCCTCAGTCATTCTCACACTACGATTGACCTCCCAGCAAGCGCACGGATCCACGGGTCAATCCCCGTCACTTCTCATCAACTCACATCGCATGTGTGATTGTCTTCGCCAACACCTTCTCGTAGTTCTCTCTGAATGTTTCAGGTCACGGACATCCAGATGACGCAGTTCTCCGAATCAACATATCCCCCACACCCACTCCCCGAGCTCCACCTCATGAATATGAATGAATTAGACCCGGGGGTTATTAGCATTGTCTTATGTGTCCGCAGTTTGGCGGCGATCTGCTGTTCTGCGTTTCCCCACTTCATCTCGCTCACATACCCTCACGCGCCGAGGTTTGGGCCTCCTGTTCCTCCCAGCCGCGGGGCGGAAATCAACTTTGTCAGCCATCTGCATATTGAAAAGGGGAGCTCTGGCTCTTTAAGTGGACTCACACACTCCAACACAGGCGTACATGTATACACTTTTGCACCACGTTCCCTCACTCAGACCATTTCTGTCCTTCCCGAGTTAGACACACACAGTTTTCCATTTCACACGCCTCGGATGCCGTACGAGCCACATTCTGACCCCCGGTTGCTGCATCAGGGGCTGAGCATCACGGAGAGAGTTAGCTGGCACAGCGATGAGCGGTCATGCTTAATGTCACAGCTCAGCGAGGATCGGCCAGGAACGCCGGCTCGGGAGAGTGAAATACAGCCTTTGTGGTGAGAAATGCAGTGCGGGCCTCAAAAAGAGCTGTATTATTATTGTCCGGTTCGGCCGCTCGGTGTGTGAGTTTTGGCCGGCGCGGGTGTGAAAGTGCTGGAGGCTGATGCTCTCCATGATTCCAGCCGTCCTCTTTCACAGGCCATCGACTGCGAACGCGAGGCTGCGCCAAAACACTCTTTCCTCAGACCTCTTATTGTCTCGCGTTATTGCTCTGTGTGTCTCTTTTTCCTCTCTCAGGATTATTAAAGGTGCTTTTTTTGCTGCGTTATTAAAGTGCGCACTGTACAGCATAGTAGCCGTTCACATCAGATCTGACTCATTTCTACTAAAGTTACTTCCATTTTCTGAAAGAAGACGTGGCCAAATCCTCCAACACCTGGCCAAAGTTGACACATGTGTGAGATTAATGGATCGTACGCCCAATGTGTTCATTCAAATATGTTCCACTAGCCGTGCAGAGTTACGCTTAAGTTGGGAATTAAGGAATTGGTGTGTCTGCTCTTTCTAAATTTTGACAGGTGTTGGCCCACTCTTGTTTTTGGGTAAATATTACATCCCTTACACAAACTGAATGCACATAACCACAAAATCATTTCCTCTTTCTTTGTGCCACTTTTTTCTTTAAAAGAAAAGTTAATAGAAAATGTACTATTATAGTGTTCAACCTTCCATAATACAGATATCCAACCAGTAAAGTGAAAGCTTAAAGGCACGGTTTATTTATTTAAAATTATATTAGTTTTAATATTATTTTTTAATATCAATAATAATTATAACAATAGTTTATTGCACCAGATTCATGTTTGTTTATTTATTTATTTATTTATAATAATGTTTACTAGTTTTAACTTTAAATTATACTTTTTAACAACAATGACTGGAATAATCTAAATAATTAATAATATAGCAATAATAATATTTTTGTGCTAGATTAATGGATTATTATTGGAATTATTATTTAATGTGAATATATCACCTAAAACTATTAGTAAATACTGTATATAACATGGGTTTGTAGCAACATGAGGTTGAGTAAATTATTCATTTTTCCCTCTGCTTCTAAGTCACACATTTAACATGTCCTCTCTTGTTTGCAGGAGCGTATTATCGAGCGTCTGAAGGAACAGAGGGATAGAGACGAGAGAGAGAAGAGCGAAGAACTGGAGAGCAACAAGAAAGAGCTGAAAGAGCTGAAGGAGAAAGTCAGTCTACTTCAGGGAGATCTGTCCGATCGCGAGGTGAGCGCTTCTGTTTGCTTCAACTCACAAACTAATGCTTTATTAATGCCAGTATTGTAAGAAGTTGCACATTTGATGAGTTTTTCTAATGATTTTCACCTGGTTGACAATGAAATGGGTGAAAAAAATGACATCGATTTACATTGTAGCAGTGAGGCGAACCATATCTAGAGAGCAAAATGTTTTGATCTTGGACTCGAGAGATAATGTGTTGTGTTCTTTTAGAAAACCACCCTGTCTACAACATCATTTACTCTGTTGATGACCGTTAAACTACAATGTCATCTTGCAAACATACTTTGAGATTTGTGTAATCTGGTTGCATATTTGTGAACAGAAGTTTGGGTTTGCGGTGTAAATATTGTAGTCTTGAATGGTGGCACGCACACTCAACTAAAATCCACAACTAAATCCTAAACGAAATCTCTTCTATCTGGAGAACTGTGAGTAAACCCTTCCAATATGCAAGCGTACCACTTTTTTTTCCTGTTATATATTTGCACATATTTGATGTTTCTGTATGATTAGTAGATTATTGTGTTTGTAAATGAAAGTCATGTTACAGGTTTTTGTACTGTACGAGCAAACATGACCATTATAACGCAGTAATCCTGTATAATGTGTCGGGTGCGGATTAAAGAGGTCGAAGTGGATTCCAGACAGCATTAGAAGCAACTTCCTTTAAATATGTACTATTGGATAAGGTGCTCAGTCAGGCTTGATAGAGACAGACTGATTCCACAGCCATCCGCACAATCCCAGAGGAGCTGTAGCGATGAGAACAGACATGCTGGACCCACAGCACTGTCAGTCCTGTGTGTGTGTGTGTGTATGTGTGTGTGTGTGTGACAAGAAGATAAATGGAGGATTCTAAATGTGAGGGAACAGCCCCTCCCAGAGAGCAACTGCTCATTTCTCTTTCCGTCTTCAACTCTGCACTGTTGTTCAGGTTTTTTATTTTTTTTTGCCTTCTATCCCTTTTCTCTTTCTTTATTCCTTTTGCACTTTCTGGTATTTTAGCTCTCCAATGGCCTTTACGTCAGTGTAAAAGAAATTAAAATGTGGTTGTCGTTTACTGACCCTTATGTCGTTCCAAATCTGTATGACATTTTTTCCTTTCGTGGAAATAAAAAAAAAAATAAAAAAAAATAATTGGTCGTTGAAGATTTCAGAAAATTTTAAGCTTCACAAATGACATAAGTGCACCATAAAGGATTTTTGCTTTTTTTAAAGCACATTTCCTCAAAATTCTCTATTTTATTTTATTTTGAATAACGATTTCAGTTTTGGCTTCATATGGCTTCTGAAGATTTGGAATATAGCATACAGTTCATATGGACTACTTCATAACTTTTATGGTGCTTTCATAGTACTTTTTTTTGTGTCCTTTTTGAAGCATGAAATCTTCAGTCCCCATTTATTGTAATTGCATGGAAAGAATGACCTGTACATTATTCAAAAATTCTCCATATGTGTTCAATGGAAGAAAAACAGTCATACGGCTCTGGAACGACATGAGGGTGAGTAAGTGATGACCGAATGTTAATTTTTGGTTGAACTATCCCTCTAATGATGGAGTCTGCAGTGTGCACGTACACCAGTGTTCCCGCAGCTCTGTGTCTGTGGCTGTTTTATTATTCAGGTTATTCTTGTTTGCTGTGATCTCTGCATTCCTCTCCGCTGTCTGCCTCTAGAACATGGGCGATGCACATCCCCACCACTAAACCACTTCCTGTCTCACCCCGTCGCTTCTTCCTCTCATCGGCATCTTTCTTTTCCCCCTTTCCATTTCTATTTGCTTCCAAAAGGCCATACACATTCTCATGAAATTATGCCCAAGTCACATTTCACACCACAATCAAAGAGAGAAATAAGAATTACAGTTTGCAGAAATAAAATGATGCATATTTTGAGGATTGTTAAGGTGTTTTGTGTTGCCATTATTTTAATGACCATTAACCACATTTCCCCCGGAAATTCTCCTTACTCTAATTCAGATTAATATATATTTTTTCTCCACTGTTTAAAAATGAACAATTACTGTAATACAATGACATTCTCAACTGTTCAAAAGGTTGGGGTCAGTAAGACATTTTTTATGGTTTATTTTTTGTTGTTTTTTGCCTTTGTGTACAGTATGTCGAAGTGCTGCCCATTAGGCTATTTTTGGCTAATGTTTTTATTAAAATAAATTATTACAATTAATCAAAAGTAAAAGCTGTTACATGTTGTTGCAGAAAAATTATATTTTAAATAAATGCTGTCAACAATATGTATTGGTGAGCATACGAGACTTAAACTTCAAAAACATTAAAAAAATCTTACCGGCCCCTTCTGAACGATAGTTTACATTCATATAAATTTGAACTTCAATCTTGATGTTGATTGAAAAAAGGTCATATGCATGAACTACTCATGAATAGTTATGGTAAATTTGTTTTGAAAATACCATCTTTCTTTTCTTTTTCTTTTTTTGGATTAAATGAGCATTGTGGTAAAACATCTTACTGGTCGTAAAAGTGGGCTTAATTGAATTGTTGTAAAATATGATTTTTTTTTTTTTTTTTTTGTCGTGAAATATGCCTCAGAAATCATGAGAGGTTTCTTGAGATCCGGCCATGTCCATTTGCTGCACGTGCGTCAGTGTCCTTGGATCTCGACTGCTGTCCTGAGCTGTATGTGGCAGCCTCCCATCGCTCAGCATCCTGTTATATCCCTCTCCTTGTTTTTCCTGCATTGTATTGTTCCTGAGCAGTGACCTCTTCGCTCCGAGCTCATTCGGCCTCCCCTCCCGCACTCTAATCATAAAGTGTGGAGTCCAGCACATCCCATCATTCCCCTCTCCTGTTTTCTTTACCAACGCGAGAGAACGCGGCGCGGCAGTATGAACATTAAGTGTGTATTTTGGTCCGCGGACTCCAGTCGAGTGTGAAATTGTGGGGCTCTCCGACTGAAAGCGGAAACGGCAGGAAAGGCCTCATGGATGGAGGGCTGCAGTTTTAACAGCATGCCCGAGACTCGGCTTAAAAAAACAGAGAGCTGATGTACTGCATATGTGCAGAGCCCTGTACATTATAGCACACGATATTTGTGATATTACTATTGAGATGTACGCTACTGTTACACAAAATCGTTCTCCTGTTATATATTTTATGGCATTATTCCTCATAAAACCCTGTGTGCTGTTAAAGGAACAGTTCACCCAAGGTTGGAGCTTTCGTCCTTTAAAAAAGCAATACGACAGCACCATAAAAGTATCGTTAAGTGGTCCGTATAACTATATATTCAAAAGCCCTATTTTCAAGCGCTATATTCAAAGTCCTTCTTTGGGTGAGAAACCGACTGAAATTGAAGTTACTATTTACTAATAACCGTAAGTGAGTCAGTGAGCTGAACTCTGAAACTGGATCTCATTCATGAACAAATCATTTTGACTGGTTTTGTGAACTTCAAAAGATCAGAAGATTCAATGCAAATATATTGACTCAAAATAATGATTCGTTCATGAACTAATGTATGACCTCACGTATGAGCCACTTTTATGATGCTTTTGCATCCTTTTGTTAGCCGTCAAGCTCAAATCTCCATTTATTACACTGAAGAAAAACAATAATACCGTTTTGAAATGACATGAGGGCGAGTAAGAATTGTCATATTTGGGTGAACTGTCCCTTTAAAAAATAATTCTAGTTTCAAATGTTTCCAGATTAGGTCCAGTTTATTTGATCCTATCTGATCTGATTTAATTCAATCCTTTTGATTGCATGTTTGTATACAAATGTGTGTTTCGAAAAGAAAAAACTCACATGGCAATTTGTCTTGGCTCTTTGTGGTTCCTGCTGTTGAAATTGGCTCGAAACGGCTGGCTGTGGTTCTGATCTGCATATTTACATGTGTTTGTGCTCAGGTTGTTTCAGTGCAATCAGGGACTGTGGAATGACGTTAGCAAAGTCGTCTCCTGCTTTTCATTAGTTTTTTCTCCCCCCTAAACCTGATCGTCTCCATTCAGAGGTAGATTGTTCAATAAGTGCTCTCTGATTTAACCTTCCTTTCCCTCGCCCTCAGGCCTCTGTATTGGACCTGAAGGAGCACGCCTCGTCCCTGGCCTCCTCTGGACTGAAGAAGGACTCCAAGCTGAAGGGTCTCGAAATCTCTCTTGAGCAGAAGAAAGAGGAATGCACCAAACTTGAGAATCAGCTCAAGAAGGTGAGCCAGACACTTGAATGGAATTGAAGCATCACAGCTAGCAAATACAGCGAGTCTCGTCAGCTAAGCAGCCAGGAGCGCGTAACAAGCCATTACGGTGACTGGCACGCCGTTAGCGCTACTCTGACAACACTTAAAACAATGACAATGAGCTGAATGTTCGCCTAAGTGCACTTTACCTGTGGAGCTTTTCTCCGTCGAGTGCTATAGGGAAGATATTAGCTCTGTTTCAGACCCTAGCTAGCAGCCTCGCTGTCCATGGTCAACAAAGACCACTACCTTCAACGGCAGCATTCTTAATGAACCAGAATATTGTACTTGACTGATTTTAAACACTCAAATAGAGCAGTTATGTTAATAGTCACTCAAATGCAAGTGCGAAAAGATACTCAAGAAATGTTCAAAGTTGATTGTTAGCATTTTGCTAAGATAGTATGCACAGCACATACAAAAACTGTGTGAATCAGTTTAGTTTGATTTAGAGAGAACATTTTTTTCTATCAATGCTTTAAAGTAATGAATGAAATTAGCTTAATTATTGTACATTTACATGGTGCTTAGCACCTTAGAATTTGGAGAAAGAGTTTGGACAAGGATATATGTGATGCTGGCTTACATTCTGGCAAAGATGTGGTATCATCATTTTGATACTTAAAATGTTACCCAGCTAGACAGCTCTCTTGATTTCGTAACAGAGCTGTTTATTGAATTTTTAAAAAAAGTACAGGAATTTTGATTTAAATAGCTTTAATTGGAAAGAATTCTAGAACGATTTGGGTGATTTTTTTTTTTTAGGGGAGTGCATCTGTATAAAAAAATCATTTAAAAAAGCTGAAAAATGTCTTTTTACTCTGAAGACTTCTTTTTTTTTTTAGTTTGAAGCATCCTTTTAGAGGTAAAAAAGTTAGAATTTTTTTTTTTAGTGAAGGGAGTTTAAAAAAAAAGTCTTATCACAGTTGTCATAGTCTTCATTTCCACTGTTTGACCGTTTCAATAGGATTATAAAATTATTTTTATTAAACATTTATAAAATATTAAACAAAATATTATTATTTTTTGCAAAAATACTATTGTACTATAAAATATTTAATAATTTTATTTGATTTTATATTTCACTGTAAATCATTTATAATATAATTAATATTTATGTCTTAAGCCCTATTCGGACAAGACTAGTTTTCATTAGAGAAATTCATGTTTCATAGGCGTGTTTCTTGATTTTAATCCTGTCTGATAAAAGAAATCAAGGGCAAATGTTCTTCGGCAAACTCACCGGTCCTCTGAGAAATCGAATCCTGTGTGAATACGAATGTCTGTGATTGCTGATATTGTATTATACTAGCGCTGCACATTCACTCCAAATAGGGCTATTATTTCTTCATTTCTTAATGTTAAACCATCAAGCTTTTATTTTGGCAGTTTTTCAGCAAATAAATATGCGCTGTGTGTTTCAGAGTGAAGTGAAGTGCAGCACTGTGTTCTTTTACACATTTGCCGCCCATGATAGTGTTTTGTCAGTGTCTCAGAGTGGCTTGATTTACAGTAAATGAACCAAGCCGCTCCGAGTTACTGAAAAAACACTGGATCATATTTATTTTGATACTGTATATCTTGCAGCCCTATTCCCAATGATCTCAAGTCTCTTCTATATGTAGCTCATTCTCTTTTCTCTCATTTTCTCTCTTGATCTTGCCTCTTTGTCATCTTCGCCTCCTGTTTTTTTCAACCAGATCAGATATTTCTCACGTTTTTCCTATAAAATATTTCGTCACCGCTCTCTGTGTATCACCCAATTCTGTTTCTTCCCCAACCCCTCTGTGTTTTTCTTTCTTTCTTTCCGAAAGCGCTCTGAGCTCATGTCAGGCCATCCCTTCAATCTTGTAAGTGCATCTTGGTGTGAAAAGCCTCCCTTAGCAGTGCCAGTGTCTCTCTGTGTGTGTAACTAATAAATGTGTGAGTGAAGCTTTGCTTGCATGAGCTTGAGGCTTATCTCAAGTTTAGTTTTGTGTGTATGTGAGATAGAGAGGATATGTTAGGGGGCTGGCGGAGTCTCTGAGTGTTCTGAGATTTGCTTGCATGAGATCTTTTCTTATCTAAAGCTTGAGAGAGTGATGGTCTTGTGTGGTTTGACGTTGCTCCGCAGCAGAGCTTGGATTTAGTGCCGTGTTCGTAAGATGATATGTGTCGCATTGAGCTGTGTCAACATGGTGTGTGCACGTGCCTCTACAAATGCTATATTTCCCCGATCCTTTTTAATCGTTAGTATAGTTTTATTAAAGGGATAGTTCAACTCAAAAATGAACATTTGTCATCATTTGCTTCCTGTCTTGTCGTTCCAAACCAGTATGCCAAACAAAAACATTTTTTGTTATGCATGGAACATGCGCAATTAAATTTATTTTAGATCATGATGATGATTACTATTATTTACCACCATTATTATTATTATTATTAGTAGTAGTAGTAGTGTTTTTACCACCTCAAGCAAAGAATGAAACTCAAATGGTGCTTGGTGTAATTGACATCTTGGTGCTCCAAATATGAGTTTGCTAGTGCTTGAATGAGATTTGGGAGCTATTAAGGGGAAGATGATTAGATTTTCAAAAAATAAAACTTTTTTTTCAGTCAGCCTGTCCTTATTGCAGAAGTCTTGACATACAGTTGGACATATGGACCCCTTTTATTTTGTTTTTATAGTTTTTCTGGGAGCTTGACAGAATGTAGACTAAAATTTGTTGGAAAAGAGCAACATGAACACTCTTCAAAATTTCTCTTTTGAGTTTTACGGAAGAAAGTTATGGAACTACATAACCGAGTAAATGATGACAGCTTGAATTTTTTTAGTTAAATTTTCATTAAATATGCATAATATATAGTCAGTGGTTATAGTCTGTGTGCTTCTGTGCAATTGTGGTTGTTAGTTTTTTAGACTGCAGTGTACATTTAGTTCTGGATGGTGATGTTAATCACTCATATGAACCGATCACCTTCGTATGCATATTCAGAGCTCTTCGCGTGGCTTGATGAGAAGATCTGGGTCCCATCGTCCGTTCCAAGAGTAATGAAATCGCTGGCAGTGTGTGTGCGTCTGTGTTCGCACAGGGTCTCATATAAAAGCAGTGCAAGTGAAAACCCGCTGACAGCTCGGTGGGCGTCTGCTGTGATTGGATGAGACAGAAAGGGGGCGGAGGACTCGACTGTCCCTGCGTGACCGCCAGGAGTTTACATGGATTAAGGTGTCAGCGAGGCTCATGAAATGAGAACAGACATGCCACCAAGACATCCAACAGTGTACATTTCACAAACCAACCAAGAGTCCCCCAATGCACTTCCTCAACTACTTCATATGGAGGCACATCAAAACTCCTTTTATATCCCCTGCTGCACACACATGCATTTTCATACCATTCAGCAACGAGATGTTCTCTCACAAGAACATTTATAGGTCAAGAAAGCCAGCGTAAATGCATAAAAACCACTGCAAATGTGTGCTGTTTTCACACAGCCGCTCTGTTATTTTGCCCAGCCAAACAGGCACAAACACATTATTAAACAACATTATTAAACCGCATTTCCCACAATCCCCCGTTTTGCGCTGGGACACTGGCTGTTCCTCTGAAAGATGGTGCCATATGGATTGACCGCTCTGGAGTTCCAATACCAACACACTGCACAGAACTTACAAGCAGACCCAGTGTCCCTTACAGCCCACTAATAACTATACAAATGCTAGTTATTTCCTACCCAGTCTGTCTGTCTCGCTGTGACTGTTTTTGTCCATTTCTCTGTTTTTTTCGAAAGGTCACAGCTGTGTCCGTATTGTGAACGAGTTTGTCTGTGGTCCTGAACACATGCTTTTCTTATGTGATCAGATGAATAGTCATGTGCCACATTCCAACTTAACAAGTGTACTTTGATTTGGACTTCAGCAATAGAACCTAAAATATCATGGTTTTGCGATTATATAAACTGTTATCTTACATAAATTAAATTAGCCTTGCATGAAAAGCAGAAACGTTTTAAAAACATCAATATCTATATTCCTCTAATTTTTTGATATATCCGAGAACAAAATTCTGTTTAACAATTAAAATCATGCAGCTAAGTCAATGTTTTGACAAGTAAATAATCTATCGTCATATATTTACACACACCTTTTTTTGGTGCTAACTGCTTTCGGCAAACTTTACCATTCCCAGTTACTTTAGGTAGAAAATTAAAAATTCCCTTCCATTTATGGAAAATATAGGTCTATCAATCACTTCAAACCAGAATTTGGTCCGAAACTAGCTGCTACTAGTATGTTTGTTATTTTTTATATTATATTATATTGTATTATTACTTGTATTTATTTTACTAAATTTACTAAACTTTTTTTCTAGGAAATTAAAGTCACAGTTTGTTTTTCCTTTTTGGTCTTAAACTGTATTTATAGCCCACATTTTAGTAACTGGTTTGGAAAAATTATAAACCTCCATTTACAGAAAAAATTATAGAAAATAAACAGCTCAAATTGGATTTTATTTTGTAGTTATATATTTCTGTTCAAATAAAAATAAATGATTACATCATATGCATCATTTAATAGTTGCAGACCCTATTCATGGAACATGCCTTGTACTCACAGATTTATTTTGCTCCGCCCTCTTTCTGACACTTTCTTGATGCTAATTGTACATTACGTTTCTGTATCGTGTTTTCGTATACAAACTTTAATTTCTTTGTCAGACTTGCCCTTTTACACACACGTAAAAGCCCTTGTGTGCAGCAACCGGTCCGTCCATACATGACAAGCTCTTGGCGGTCAGAGTGGAAACCTACTCAACCTCAGGTCGAGACTTTAATAAAGCTAATTAGCGGGGCCTAAACGTCACCTTCAAATATTATCCTCAATAAACCAGAACAGTCCTCTTTCAGCCAGTGCCAGTCTAAAGAGACCTCTGAGGCCAGACACTTTGCTGTATTTTTAACCAGCATGTCACAGTAAGGATTTACTTTATTTTGTGTTATTTTTGTGCCTGGTTGTTATATAAACATATTCTGGATAGATTCAAGCTATCTTTGAATGTCTTCTGCATTCAGACTTGGTCCGTACACACATGCATTTAGTCATGGTGTAAATGACTCGCCTTGCAAAGCCTGCACTGTTTTTGTGTTTTCACAGGGTTTTTTTTGCAGCAGGAAGACACCTGTGTCCTTTTAGAGGACTTTTATGAAAGAAACATTACGGCTGACTCCTTTAATTGTCAGGGGGAAGTGAATTGATTTACTTTTCATTAGATGAGGCCCTTGACCCGGCACTTTAGACGGCCGTAATGTCACTAATTATTTTGATGACTTCAGCATGATTGTGTTTCCATGTGCACACACACACACACACACTTTAATGAGGTCGTATCCTGTTGTGATGTAATGGGGGACCTTACACAGAGCCTCCAGGTGTGAGTTGGGTGTCTTAGACCTCAAAACAACACACAGACACACATGTACTGGTGACAGTGTCTAGGCCATGCTTGACCGCTGATAGCTTGTCCCTACTCAACTATGGAGAGTTGAAGTCAGTTCAGCATCTAAGCTTCTTGTCCATTCACAGCACAGACACATGTAAAACCCAAAGTTTGTGAAAAGATACAGTGGAGGACATTTTTAAACTGGTTTGAGAATTTGAGGTCTAAGGCCTATTTACACCAAATCCAATGTGGTTAAATGATAAATTATCAAATTGTTTATAATTTGTTTAATAATTAATTAAATGTAATATTATTTTTCATTATTATTGTTATTACTACTACTACTGCTATTGATTAATATTACTTTAAATAAATAGACAGACAGGTTGAATGGACACCTTTACGCTCTATATATATATATATATATATATTAGTATATCATTTCAATTATTGCTCTTATTATTATCATCTTAAGTTATTTCTATATTATTTTAAATAAATAAAAAATCCAGACTTTGTTATTGTTGCCCCCTGAACCTCAACCTTTGGTCCGTACAGGCTCAGTCAGTTGCGGTTGAGGCTCAGGTAAATGCAGGACTATCGGAGCGCATTGCCACACTCGAGCAGGAGGTGGCGCGCTACAAGGAGGATGCTGGGAAGGCACAGACAGAGGTGGACCGGCTCCTGGAAATCCTCAGAGAGATGGAGAATGAGAAGAATGACAAGGATCACAAGATCAACGAGCTAGAGAGGTACACACACACACACACACACACAAGTTTATAAGACAACATAGACTTCTGTTGATTTTATGTACAGTACAGTTGCTACCGTCTATCCCAAACCCTTTATAATATAGTGGTTTATTTAATTTATTAAATGAATGTTTTACATACTGAAGATATGCCCAGATGTCTGCAAAGGAAGATTTTGTCAGATTTTTTTTGGGGGGAGGAATAAAACCCCCAATTGTTGGATTCTCTACTTGTCACCCTCTTACTGCGTCACCCTCTTACTCCATTTGTGTCAGTTTTTCCATGTTGTTTGTTGTGAAATTTCCCTTGTATTGGGTATTGACAGCCACCATTTTGGCATTGTGAAAACCTATATGCCTATACATGTATATTGCCACTAACAGATAGGTGATCACACCAGTCCAAAATAGTGCACTTGATGTAGATTTGTGCTCTTGTTGCCTTGGTTTGTGTCCTTGAAGTCCATAGGGCTTCCCATTTGTCATTGTATAGTTCAATTGGGTGCACATAAGTAGGCAGTGTTGCCCCCTCAACTTGGCTTTTTACTTTTGGAGAACCGCCAAGACTGAAAGATCTGTATGCCACAAGGATGATGATGAGGGTGTCAATGTTGTTCCTTGTTTTCCTCGCTTTTCTGTTTGTGTTCTCTGTTGGCTTTCCTTCTCACCCACTCAGTCATCTCTTATCCTCCGTTTATTTAGGCGTCAGACCAGGAATGAGTTGCAGGAGATTTGGAGGGCAACTTCAGCAATAGCATTATGGGATGTTGGCATTGTCATTAAGCATGCCTAGTAGATCCATGGCAGTCATAGACTGTAGATTTAGTTCTAATCCCCAACACGTTGCTCTGATCCCAAAGTATGTTCTGTGTCCGTAGACATGGAGAATAAAGTGATTAAGCTACAAAGAGCTCCATAAATGAACACTTTATGAATTGCACACCTTCAAATGCATGTCTGCTCCTCCCGGAGCGTTTTTCTAGACTTTTTGCACTGTAAACATCTGTGTTTTCGGCCTATGTAATTGGACTAATTAATGAGAGGCAAATATAGACCTTTTCACATCTTCACAGCTCTTATAAATAAATAAAGATAATGAATAATTGAAGTAGAGCTGGAGTGTAAACAGACAAGAATGTGAGGGAGAGTCTGGCCCGGCGGTAAAGAGTCGTGGAGGTCACGGATGTGGATGTTGTGCATTGACAGTTGTGTATGCTCCCTTTAACCCTCCTTCAGGCCTTTCAAAGCTGTTGTCGGAGACCGTTCCCAAGCACCAGCGTCTACAAAAAGCCCTGCTTTAGCCTGACAGGGACATTTATTTGCACTGAGGCTCTCGCTGTTGAATACTGGAAGTGTTTTTGGTGGGTTTCTGTTGTTTCATAAATATTAATCTGACTTGCGTTGAATGTCTCACGCTTTACAGATCTGCGTTAGGAGAGGATTAGACTAAAACAAACTCCATATGCTTGGCTCGATGCATCATTCATGTCAACCGAGAGAAGATTTCTGAAATAAACACCAGCCGCAGTTGCTAACCGTGGCGCTCCGAGCTAATTACCACTCAGAGTCAGGTTATGTTCTCGAAACACACCGGGGAGTTCGGTTCTCAAAAACCTCCCATTGTTCTTTCTGTGTCTTAGTTTCCGGCACTCTGGAGTTTGACTGTTGATGTGGTTTTGATGGAGAGTTATTCAGACAGATCCTCTTCTGTTAGCGCCTGCGTCTTTAATCAAGACGCGAATGGCAGGTAGAAGCGGTGTGTTCTGTTCAGAGTGAGTCAGGATTACCTTTCTCACTCAGAGATGGAGAAGCCAAAGCTCCTCTTGTTGCAGATCAGTGGTGCGGAGGCAGGTCTTGTTCGCAAATGCCTTCAAAGTCACCGAAAAATGGCAGAGGTTGAATTGGGGCATTGGGGTATTTATTTCATAAATTCAGCAGCAGTAAATTTGCCGGTAATTATGGAGGATTGTAAGGCTCACTGTTTGAGAGGGAGCTAAAATGGGAGGGTGAGTCTGAAGAGACGTGTAACAAAGAAATAGAGGTGAAACACATGGGGGGCATAACAGAAGCACTATTTGTAAGGATAGCAAAGCTGATTCTCATGTTTTTTAAATGTGTTTTTTTATGTTTATAAGCTCCATTTATATGTTTTGTCACATCGTTTGGGGGGTTTTCTCTGGAAATTTTAAATCCATTCACATCCTTACTAAAGATGCATCTGGTTTTTATTGACTTTATATGGCCTTTATATGTTTTCTTTAAACTGAGTAGCGTGTGAGATTGCATGTCACATTGTCAGGTGCTTTTTTTTTTAAAGTTCAGTATGCTTGTATCAGAAGTCTACATGTGAAGGATCGTGTACTTTTAACTCTTTTGTCTTACACAGCTTTCCAAGTTAACCCAGCTCACTCTGTGTGTATCTCACCTCTATTTCTCTCTTTCTTCCTCTTCGTTTCTTTTCACTGGAATGCTGTCTACATCCCAGTCTGGCTTCAAGGTCAGTATGCCTTCTTTCCTTGCTTGCACTTCCTTTGT